CCCACGCACCTGAACATCGTCCATTCCCTTTTCAAAATAAATCTATTTATTATATTTATCAGCAGATTTTTGATTTGCACGCCAGGAAATTTTGAAATGTACTTTAAAATTGTTCAAAAGTAATAACTTTTAAAAAAGGAACAACCTTTGTTGTTTCTCTCTCTGATAAAATCAAGAGTGATATAATGAAAACAAAAGTCATGATCAGCTTCAAAATCAGCTTGTGTGCACAGGTTTAAGAAGTACATGTAATTGTATCGATATACCGTAGTGAGAGCAAACAATTCAAAACCCAACTCAAGATTTCAAGAACAAAAACTATCGATTTAAACATAACAAAAATAAAAAGGTCAGTGGCAAATTATAGAGAAAAGACCCATACAGTGAAAGGACACCTCAATTGCACGTTTACGCATTATTGTTGCCATTTTGTGAGGTGCTAAACTGGTTTCCCCATGTAAAGTTAATCAAGTTGCCCACCCCCCTTTTTTTCCCCCATTCCCCAAGAAAACACTTTAAAATCTGTAAATCTCTCTGCTTTAGTGTCTGACCTTGCTTTAACTCACAATAGTAATCATTAAGCTCGAGTTTGACTCATGGTTGCACTTTAGTAGTTCTTGTAATGTCTAACAAATTCTTTGGACAGTGAATCCCCATTAACCCAATGGCTATATGAGCAGAAGGTCTTTCCTGACCTTCCTCACATACACTTTACAAGCAGATAATATGAATTGTACCACCACCAAAAAAAAAAAAAATCTTATTAGCTTACTAGCCAAAAAGCCCATCATGCCCTGAAACCACAACTTTGATGACTAACTGCATGCATGTTCAATGTATGTTAAGCCTCAGTGTTTATCACATAGCACTTCTTTTAAGCCCATTTAAACTCAAATTCTATGTGAGAAGTTAAACACACGAGTTAACTAAAAGAAAAAATAAAACTTAATTGAAATTTATTTTTGACAAGTGATGCATACAAAAGAAATGTGCTATCTTCTCAGTCACAACACATTTAATGCTACAGATATCACATGCTGGAGTCTGATTCTGCTTTCTCAACTAGGTGTTCCTGTGGTATGCCCTGGCAACCTTCAAGTACTGTTCAGCAAAAAATAAATGTAATGAGCAAACTAGCATGTTCCAGTTATTTTTTAATAGAATAATTATAGATCATTATAACAAAAAAAGAAGATTTTGTTGTTATAGAATTAAGGGACATACTACTAGTATGTCCCTTAATTCAATTTTATTGCATCAGAAAGTTGAAGGCATCACCCATGATCAAAATGCAAAAGGCTGCAACATCACCAAAGCTACTGACGTCAACAGACAAATTATTTTAGTGCGAGAAAACCACAAAACTATTCATCTGAGATTAATGCCACTGGACTTACCAGAATAACCTCTAGTGCAGGTAGAATGCCCATGTTTGATAATGTCTTGAAGAAAGCATCCCTGTTTTGAGGTTGTAATGTTTGAGAGAATGCACAGAACTCCTTTAGGAAGTTTACCTAAAAGGAATAAACAAAGAGAGGTCAACAAAACAAAGATCTTAAGAGTTTGTGACTGCAACAACTTTAAATAAATAAATTATTAAATTCTGGTATACCAGTTCGTGTCTTTTGTCATCATCTGTGGCCTCATCTGTTAGCTGTGCAAAGAGGTCTGTCAGGAACTTCTCATCGTCCTGACATCAAAAAAGGGAGATGAGATTTTAGAAGTCAGTATTAAGAGTATGATTAATATGTCAATGTATGACAGACACCCAATTTTCACAAGTTACAAAGCTGTTATTGGTTTACAATAGTACAAGTCCAACATAATTACACAGAAAACAAAAGTGAATTGCATCATCTTTGTCAATGAGAAATTTGGAGCATAAACAATGTGATCTATCTGGTCATAAAAATACTTTTGATATGTTTATGCTGAAAACACCATCTCATTCAATGACATCTACTACCACTTTAAATATTTTTTAAAACCTTGGTTAGTGAACGGTTTGATTTAAACTTGCCTGCCTTATGCTAATTAAGGAAGCAAAGACTCATATCTGTAGTGTTTGACTTCAGAGCGTGATATAGCAAAGAACACCAGAGTCAACAATGTGCCCGTTTCAGTTTTCCTCTAGCGCAGCATAACAGATTTACACAACACTACTGTGCCTCCATGGAGACAGCCATACATAAACAATGCTGAGTTGACACAGGATAAAAACACAAAGGTCACATGATCATAAAAGGCTGCCAGACAATCTCAGACAGGGTAAAAGTACAATCAGTCAAAAATAAAACCAATGTACAATCCTATAATTACTGTAATTTGAGGCTCACTAACATTTCATAAAAGAAATTCTCCTTTGTGAGGATTACAGTATATTCACAAGTTTACCTATTTATAACACTTGCTTCAATTAAACCATTTGTTTAAAATGTAGTGTTTATACAAAGTAAAAACAACAACCCCATACTGTTAGATCATACTACTACATGTCTGCTTATCTCACCTGTAGCATGCCCACAATCTCCACCTTGTTGAAAAAGATGAAGGAGTGCAAGGTGGACAGCATGTTTTCCTCAAAAACAGAGGGCGTGGGCAGCACCATATCCTGAATATACTGCACCCGATATGTCTGGTGAATTTTCTGACGCAGTTCAGGATCAGAGATGGGGATCACCTCCTTAAACCGGGCTGTTTTAGTGAGAAACTCACGATGCCGCCTTGGCTGCGGGAGTGCTGGGTCAAACTCCAGGCAACCAATGACGTCCATTATGCACTCATCAGAGAACATCACCTCAAAGAGTGCAGTACGATTCAGCAGGAAGATGCCTTTCATTATTTCATACAGGTGGTGCAGTCCCTCTCTGTTCTCCAAATCCTCACAAACACGGAACAATTCCAGGAGCTTGCGAATATAGCCTTCATTCTCCACAGCCAGTGCTAGTTTTTCACGCCGCAGTGGTGATGGGAGAGAAGAGGCCACCAACTCGGCCAGGTCCTCCAAACGGTTCAGTTCGCATGGCGGTAATTCCAAACCTGGGGATGACATGTCATCAAAACGCTCCTCCTCCGATTCGTCCACCACATCCTGTGTGATGTCAACTGAAGGGTCCTTTCCCTGCACCTTAATAAAACACAAGTGCGGACAAACATATTAGCACCTCAGGATGTAACTACATAAGGGATCACCAGGAACACAAATAGCATCAAACCCACAAACTAATGGAGATGAAAAACTCAAACCCACACAAATTAAGTACACTAACCTGGCATATTTTCTCCCAGATTTCATCACAGCCAGCCTTCTCCTGGAAACTGAGTGCTAGATCATAATTTTCAGCCTCTGACCACACTATTAATGTGTCCTTTTCAAAAGAAAAACAAAGCCAATTTACAATAAACAGAGCAGAATGGGGGGGGGGGGGAATCAGTTTTGTATGTTCATCATGTTATGTACTGACCTGTTGTTTCTGGTAGGCTGTGTTTGGGTTAATTTTGGACTCCAGCAGAAGGGAACCTGTCAGGTTTAAAACAAAGGTAGCCCAAAATTGTAGGTTACTGCATTTGCTTCAAATAAGTAATACGTGTACAAATTTCAGGTTAAAATGAGTGCGGAACGTCTTGTTTTTGTAGTAATAACTGAGCTACTACAATCTTCGTGTGGTATTCCTACGTTCGCTTACCATCGCTCTCTGCTCGCACCAGGAGAGACGTGCCTTTCAAGCGCTCCACATAGCCCGACGAGACGTGCCCGGTCCCACGGTCATCCCACTGTCTGTCCTCATTGAGGGTATAGACTTTGACTCGCCGACGAGTGTCCGTCATCCTGGCAGTTTCTTGTAACCCGTTCTCCCCTTCCGGGCCTTTTACGGGGTGCTTTCTTCACCTAGTAACGCCACAACTTCAATTCACTTTTTACAGCTGCTCACTTCTACAAGAGTATTAACTAAATATGAATCGGCGGGGGGTCACTTAGGATAAGTTCTAAAAGCAACTTAAAAGTGGATCGCCTCAACAAGTTTCCAGCAGGATTCCGCAATAGTTGTTAAAATTACTACTGCAATATCTCGCATTTCTTGACGAGCTGCCTCAAAACTTACACTGCCAGCGCTATAGGCAAGGCGCCACGCAGAATCCGCGTACAAACCATTGTAGGAAGCTAACGACAAAATTAAAGAGCGGAGGACGTCGTTATCTTACGCGTTAAACGACAAAACAACGAATGTCACTGCAATATACAGCTGAGAACAGAGTACTGAAAAAGAAGCAGATATTACGATGACTGGCTCACGAAACACTCCTGCTTATATGTACAGTTTGTACGCTTACAGGTAACGTTAGCTATCAACCCTTACGAGTTAACTCGCTAGCTAGTACGCTAAGTACCTATGCTCCACATATCCAATGTTAAACTACCATTTGAAGCAGATTAACTATAGAGTTAGCTGTCGATAACATTACTTTATACTTGCGGACAACAGACACCCGTTTTAAGCCTGGAACAATGTTTCTATTCTTCTTTAAATAATACGCCAGCTAGCTAACGTTAGCTGCTATTTCTTTCCCAAGTGTTCCGCCATGTTCTGGCTCGGGGCCGCGGAGAGACCACTCTCTCCTTACTCTTACTCATGCATCCCCAAAACTGTGCAAACCAACAAACTGGAGTCGTATAATTACTTGAAGGTTACGCTTTACATTATACTGCTATTTGCCATTCATTGCCGATGTCTTGCTCAGATAATTGCTAAGTGCCCCCTGTGAGTATTCAGCCATCTTGGGTCCCTTCACAGTCAGTACGGGGTTTCCAGCACGGCAACAACAGGGCAGCCCGCCACATTTAAAGAGACAGTAACAGAGAAAATAAACTGTATTTGAGGCCACGTCCAGCATGAACGGGTCTAACTTTTGCGATACTCACCTGCCAGTCACACTATCATTGTGTATAAAAATTCAGTGTTCATCGCACTAATGGTCGCATATACACGAGTGGACACCAGTCAGAAACAATCGTTTATTTTGTTTCAATAAAAGAAAACAGAAATGCAGAGTTGAAATCAGTTGTTATGCAACACAGCAGAATTACAAAAACGTTTTATATCACAATGGTGGGCTTTTAAAACATAATGAAAACTCAAAAACGTCCATTAATTATAGTAACAAATATCCTGGGTCATCATGTGATCATCAGTCTTCAGCCACTGATCTACTTCAAAAATAAAACGGCTGCTTTCAAAGTCCACAACGTCTTGAAATTCAACCACCCAGGAAAATGTACATAGGGGAAAAAAATGAAATAAAATTCACATAACTTTTAGGGAAACTGAAAAACACACACAAAAAAAAGTTTTTCTACCCCGTGGAGTATTTCTCCATTCTTCCCATCATAGTGTAACAACTTAAACATGCAGGTTCCCAACCATGACCCAATTTTTCAGTATAAAGCCCAAAATGTACAGTTTCACCCCAATTATTCCAAACCTCTTTTGCCAATGAAAACAATGTGAAAACATTCCCTTTGTTAAAATGGGCAATGCAGTCTTTACAAAGAAAAAGAAAAGAAGCCCTTTTCATACATGTAGTCTTTTTTGATGGCACACATCAGATTCATAATTAAATTACTAACCTCATCAGATTTTTTTATGTATTACTTCCAAAAGGTAATGAATACGAATGAATTCATGTATGGCAAATGTCCTGTGAGATCAATGACACTTTTGCCACAGTTGCCAGTATAGCTGTTTTCACACACAAACTTAAAATGTTGGAACAGGCACATCAGGACATTGTGTAAATTTCTTTCTCACATGTAACACAAAAGCAAGCCTTCCATGTGGTTTAGGTGAGGGAGCTGCATGATCCTATAGAAAGGACACAATATGACTATAATATGACTAAGTTCCTATGCAAATTACATGAATTTTGTTCCTGGCTGAAATCCATTCAATGTCCAATCCAACTGCATCACACCTTTGTGTTCTTACATGCACCTCTCTCAGGTAATGTCAAGAAAGACTTCAGGCTGCAGTGCACATGTGAAAAGAGCTTACGTGTCTGAATGAAACTGCAAAAAGTGGCCTGAATGGAAAAAGTGCCGTCACTTAAGCACAGTGGTGGAACCATGTCTGAAAAGGGCTTTGCGTTAAAAATTACAAACACATGCTGCCAAGGATGACATTTCCAAAAAGAAAATCCCCAAATTTTTTCACATCCCCCAATTTTTCCCCCCAATCTCTCTTCCTCATGTTTGGTACAATATGAAATAATTCCCCCTGTCAAACTGACTTTGCAGCTTGCTGAGCCTGACGCCGTAAGAGGACGTATATCTTCTCCTTAATCCAGTCTTTGTTGTATGGTTGATATGTTTGAGTGTCAGCTCTGTATCTGTATAAAAAGTAAAATATTTTATTGAAACGTGACCAATGCATCCAAAGGGAATGTTGTGTTGCATTCAAATTCATACACAGCTAATTATACTTACACAAGACAGCTCAGATCTGCCAAGTCATCAATAAAGTCGAACAACTGACTAATGTCATAAGTAATGGAGGGACTGTTTGGATTCATCCTCTTGAGGTGCTCTTCATACATTTTGCAAACACCTGGGGAAGAGGCAAATGACATGCTGAATGGAAGCAAAAACAACAACAACAAAATGCAATCCACAGGAAAAAGCTAAAACAGCAAAAAACAAGCGTAATTTACATAGACTTTACAGTGTGCAGTAATCACTGAAAGAGAAAGACAAGATAAATAAAGAGGCCCTAATAAAGGGAATAAAGTAATAAGTGAAAACAAACAAACCTTTGGCGTCACTTTCTGTATTTGTATCTGTATTTATTAGAGCTATTTTGAAATACCTTATATTTAACTGGTACGTTAATCTGTTATTTACTGGTCTTACTGTCTTGAAGCAACAGTGACCACATCATTTCCTCTGGGATTAATACAGTAGTCTGAATCTGAAAAGTGTATACTGCAGTTCAAGACACACAACACAATTGTAAACACCTCTTAGTTTACAGATAATAAAGGCATTAAAAGGTATATGATAACCCCATTACTACGGAATGCATAACTTGAGTAAATGTACGTATTTTTAATCGCAGTCAGTTCTGAATATCATACTAATGATTATTCTTTGTGTAAGTGAACCTTGATTAATCTCTGTTCAATAGAGCTCAACTGCAGTTCAAAACCCATTAATGTAAAGCAAATGGTTTCCAGTGTATACTTTTAGTCTGTGTGCTGAGAGCGCTTTCAGTCACAGTCACCCTGTTCTTTGGGACAAGCTGCCTGCTGACCTGAGGTCAATTAGAGCTGTGTCAACATTCAAAAACAGGTATAAAACCTTTGAATTCTTTATTTTTTTACTAAGTTTTTTTTTATGTTATTTTTAAACTTTTATAGTAAGCACAAGTTTACATGTTATTTGTGCTATATAAAAATGATGTTGACATTAGAGCAGGGCGATATGGCCAAAAATATTTATCACGATATACATTTGAAAATTTGTGATAACGATATAACTGACGATATAATTGATGCGAGACAAAATACAACTCCACAACATTACTAGCGCAAAAAGACAACCTTCTATTTATTTTCACTTAAACAAGAAGCTGGTTTTTATGTACATTAAAGCTTTATAAAAATGTAACAGTGTAAATGCAAATTCCTTGCTGAAAGTTTAACCAAAAGGCATTTCCAGTAGAAATGGGCTGACATATCCTGAGCATAACCATGTATAATATCCACTGAAGTTAAAAAGAGTTGCTTTGCAACATTAAACTGCAGTGTGCAGTACGAATTTTTCGGACCATAAGGTGCACGGGATTATAAGGCACATTAAGCAAAACAAAGCAGTCAGATAAATCAAACTTTATTCAACTCATTCTTGCTTCTCCACTTCTGTACCATTGATTCATTAATGTTGAATTCTCTGGCAGCTGCTCTATTCCCATGTTGTTGCAGTATATTAATGACTAACCTTGTATTGTGGATGGATTATCTCAGTTGTTCTCCTGACTGAAGTTTGGTCCGTTTACAGCATCTTGCCATGCGACTGAATTTGTCTAACTATCAGGAACCTTAACGTTAACTTTTATATGTGGAAAAGTGTTAGTGTTCGTCCTCCAGCTTCACTGTTTATGTTATGCTAACATAGCTGTGTCGCTAGCGATCACGTAGCACATCATTATATACCAGCTAGCCCAACTTCAGTAACCCTACAAACATCACTGCTGTTTAGTTTCCTGTCTTCATTTATGTTGGAAGTGATAGCAGAGCTGTACGTTTGAATTTTTTCAGAAATCTCTCAGTCAGAACATATCATGCTTAGGTAACTAGCGAAACTAGCGAGCTAACTTCCGCTAGCTTCCTGCTAACTTCTAACTCGTTAAATGTAATAAATTTTGTTTTCATGGATGCCTGGAAGTTAAACTTCATAGTTACACCTGGTAAAGCAGCAATGCTGATCGTTTTATTAAAGATGAAAGAATGTAGACAGTTTTTAACTCTCAGTGATGCTGCAGTGTTGTTTGACCTGAAGTATACAGAGTTTAGGACACAGATTACTCCCAGATTTAAGAGCATCTTAGTCCGACAAATACAACAATAACGACAGCCGCTTGCATGTTCTGCAAAAAAATGTGCTTTGTCGTGTATCTGACGGACAAACACCAAACCAGTTCCACATCACTGAAGTTGCACCATTTTAACAAACCAATTCTGGTTCATTTGTTTCACTCAACAATCGGCCATGTGCGTATGAAAACAAAGGCACTGCGCATGCGCGTTTTACTCATATTCTATCGCGATATTTCATTTTCCTATCGTTGCCTAACATTATACCGGTATTACCGTGAACGGTATAATATGGCCCAGCCCTAGTTGACATAAAATAATTTTGTTTCCTGAGTCCATAGTTTAAAGAGAGTCACATAATTAATATATATGTCTTTTCTCATGTTTTCTTTTTTACTTTCCAGAAACTAGAAAGTGATTACTGTCAGTCTGGGTTTTTGTTTTTTTCTCCTCAAATTAAGATGAACCACATAATCCCATACACAGACAATACTTGGTACCAGGATTAATTTATTATTCACTGGCCTATCATTCGTATGTATTTACTATGAGAAAAATATCCTTTAAAAGAATGAGGAATCACAATAGATGATGAATTCAATAAAATTGCATCTGCTACTACTAGTTACACTGAAAGTAAATATTTAAAAAAAACTGCGAGATTATTTATGAATGAAAACATTAAACAGACTCACCCTCCATGCATTCATTAACTGACTCATAGTCAGCGTATGTGCGGCCCTCTGGTCTCTTGGTTGGTTGGACAAGCAAAATTGTGTGCGACTGTAAAATGATTGATAATGTTTAATACACACCACCACGTAGTTTCTCTGTGTCAAACCAAAGCACCTTAATTGGGCAGCTGATGCGAGTTTTTTGCGAGTTTTTGAGACTTGTGTAGTAACCTTCTGCCCAGACATTTTCCAACACCAGTGTAAGGATGGTCATTCAGCTGCAGACCACCGACTTCATCAGTCTTTTACAAAACATCCACCATAACGTTACTTCAGCCACATCTCACATTAATAAAAATATGTAATTTGATTAGATGGTGAAATTAAGTTTTAAGAAACAACGAAGCGGTGGGCAAAAATGCGTGTTTGATAAGAATAGCAAAGCGTTAGCCTCGAAGCTTATTAGCTTAGCTGTGTGTGATTAGCACAAGCTAGTTGTGGCCTAAACTGAGAATTATTAGCTCTTTAGATGTCAAATAAAACACACTTACCATCTCTGTTTTCAACCCAAAGCCTCGCTATTTACTCGCTATGCAAAACTGAAAAAACTCGTATTCAGTGTAACTTCTCAGAACCCCGTGCGATGTAGCTGTTTGGTCTAAAAGTAATTTAGGGGAAGTGAAAAAGACCTCTTCCGGTTGTAAAATCGAGTCCCTTCAAAGTATAATTTTTGCTTCAAAATAAAAGTCCGATAATGCAACAGTAATGATTAAAATGTGATTTTTTTTTCAGCAGACTTTGTTTGTAAAGGTACACATTTTTTTTTCTAAATTCTCTTTTTTTAATTATCATAGACATTATTTAAATGGACCCAGGTTGTGCATCTGAAAAGTGTAGCCAGCAGAGAAGCGCTCTAAAGCTGCCTTACTTTTAATAGCCAGTAGGGGCTGAACGCTTTGTCAGCCCCTGCAAGGCTCCCGCATAAAAGACTTCTAGTTGTACAGAAGTTTGTGGGAAAACGGCCCCCCAATAAATTACTTTTCTAATGATTTTGTGAACTCACTTGCTGATTATTTAATGGGGGAAAATGTAAATTTAAATTGTAGTCATTATATTGTTTTGCTGTTTACACATTCACTTAACATAGAGAGATCTCTGGTTCATCCCTGGGAGGACACACAAAACCCTTCAGGTCTGCATCAAGAAAGACATCCAGCATACAAGTGGAGCTAGCTGTTGTGGTGACCCCTTGTGAACTTGGGAGCACCTCTGAGTAGCTTTTACTATTATCCTGCTCGTGTATTGACATGTCAGTAATGATGCCCTACAAGAAATGAAGATGCAAATAAAGCATTTTTTTTTTTCAAAATTACAACATAGCTGAACATTTATTAATTGGATATATGATTTAATTTGAGTAATTGCAATGAAATAATTTTTTGTTTGAATCCCGACCTACAGGGCAACAACACATACACTGACATAGTGGAGATCACAAAAACAAACTGAAAGACAGTGAAACCAGGAAAAATAGCTATAATATTTGTGATGGCAAATCATATTTTTAAATGAAATATGTAATGTGGTTTGTTGTTCTTTTTTTCTTTATTTGGTGTGTATACTATAGGCTACATTTGTGTACCAAAATCACTTGATTTTCTTTAAACAGAGAGCATGACTGGGCACTTTTGGAGATATCAGTGACATGTGTGGTTATGGCCTTGCTCTCAGAAGGTCCCTGAGTGTCGCTCTCCTTGTAGTTTCTCTTGGAGATGTGGATACAGGCACCCTCGCCACACCTCCACACTCTCGTTGGCATGCCTCCAGGGACACAAAGTTGTTGGGATTGCCCTGGCAGCCTCCATACCAGAACTCGGTACACTTGGCAGTGGCAGGATTATAGCAGAACCGGACCGTCCAGGTCTCACAGGGGCCCTCATCACGAGGCAGGGAGCACAAATTGCCAGTGGATGGAGGAGTGGGTGATGGGTGCTGCTGATATAGGAGAAAACAAAGCAATATATACATTATATTTGTAGTGTGGTCTGCAGAAAAAGAGCTGCAATTGTTAGACATTTTAAATGGTGAAAGAAATATTAAGCGTTACATATATGATTATATAATTGTTTTGCAGAGACAAAGATACTTTCTTATGGTTGTTATTGTGAATAATGCTCTAAAAACACATGATATTTTATCCCTGTAGTGCTTCTATTTGACCATATCTTTTTGGTGAACGCTCAAATTTAGTAAACTTGGCAAATACTTTGTTACTAAGTGAAGGTCATCACTAGATTTATATACACAGCTGTTATATTATTCAGAAAGGTTAACTGTGACTGGCTCATAAAATCAGTTAATAATGTGATTCCTACCACAGTCTGGTACTCAGGACACCCAGCCTGTCCGAATCCTTGAGCGGGTGTCACCCCATCCAAACAACAGCCATACCTAAAACAGAGACAATGATTTTTCTTTTTTAATTTCAGTTTGAAAATGGGGAAAAGATTTCTCTATACTTTCACATCATTTTCTGCAAAATAGTGTTTAGAGGTACTCATGTTACCTAGTGCGGACACATTCTTGTGAGCATCCCAGGTTCCTGGGCCCCGTGGCAGAGGTACGGCCATCAGGACAGCAGCCGTAAGGCGACTGCGTACAGTGAGGTCTCACCTCATTAGGGTAAGAGTCATACACACTGTTTGTAGCTGGCCTTGAAACTAAAGCAAGTAAACAAATGAGGTCAAATATACTGTATGCATGCATTCCTTTCTAATTTTAAAAGCTTTTGAATAACATTTCTTAATAAGTCTGTGTAGGTTCTCAGTCATCTTTGTAGGTAATAAAAGATAAGTCATGAAAAGTTTGTTGTTGTTGTTTTTAGTTTAAAAAAAACAGCTTTTATAATACAGAAAACGCTTCGTAGAAGGAAAAAGAAATGGCTGTGTTTGAGCTTGTGGCTTACCTTCAGTTATCTAAGTTGGAAATTAGGCTAAAACAAGTTTGGAATTTTCTGTTTGTCTATGAAATACAAGAAGGCAATGGGAGGGCAGCACAGTCATAGTCTAGACAGCAACAATTACAACATGCCGAAAGCGTACATTATCTTTATTGCGTGAAGAAACCTCAACTGTGTTACAATACTAAAATTACTGTCTGCGCCTTAAGAAACGTTTTTTTGTTTTTTTGTTTTTTTCTACAGTGGCTTTGATTTCACATATATAAAATGCACTCTGAGTTGTGAAAGACTGCTATGTCTGTGTGGGTGAGTGTCTCTAAATGTTCATTAATTCATTATTCAGCACTGTAATATCAGTTCAGTTCAAATTAGTTCAATTCAATTCAGTAGTACCAAATCACAAGAAAAAATGCCTGAAGGAGCTTTGTACTATAAGGCAAACCCCAAAAATCAAACAACCCCATATGAACAACCATTTTGCAATAGTGGGTAAGAGCATAGAGACAGGACTAAATACAGACTACGGGACAGAGAAGACAAAGATTTGGTGCTGCAGTGGTGTGTAAACATGTGGGCAATGAAAAGAGGTGAGTAGACAAGTTCCTGAAGCAGTCTGTGCCCTATAGCAGTATAGCTACAATCTGCTTCAGGGTCAGCCAACCCAGCCTAAACTATAAGCTTCATCAAAAAAAGAACATTTTGAGCTTAGTCTTTAAAGTAAACTTCCCCCAAATCCAAACTGGGACCTGAATGCTGAAGGCTCTGCCTCCCATTCTGCTTTTAAAATCTCTAGAAACTACAAGCAAGCCTGCAGTCTGAGAGAAAAGTGCTCTATTGGGATGATATAATTGTATGAGGTTCTATTACACACAAGGGTGATCTTATGTTGTAGTGCCACATATAAAGAAATTGCATGCTCAACCATGCAAAGAAAGATGGTAACATTTCCGCACTCATCATACCTGAAGGTTCTTCTGGAATATGGGGCACAAATCCTCTAATAGTGCTTCCACCTGGCCTTGGGTCCTGCACACTTGGGGCCGCTGGAAAAGAAACAAGGTTGACAATATAAAATAAATAAATAAAAGTAAAAATGATCAGAACTTGCTGCATTCAGATGTCACTCACTTTGCACCCCAGGGCAGGGCTGCGTGTTGCATTCCTCCACAGAATGTGGTCTGTGAGCTATCCCACAACGATCTTCAGGGTAGGGGTTCAAATCAGTGTCAAAACAGGCAACTCTCCTCTCCCTCACACCACCACCACAACTTCTCGAACACTGCGAGATAAAGAAAGATAGTAACGCTGAAAGGAAAATAACAGTTAAAGCTTTTTTTTGCTTTCTGTTCCCTTACCAGGCCGTACTCTGTCATATGCCAGGTTATGCGTGTGTAACAGGCAGGTCTGCGGCAGGCCTGGACAGAAGGAGGTCGAACCAGTCCACTGCATGCATGATCAGGCAGATGTTCGCCTCCTGGTCCAACGCAAACAACTTCCCTTGTCTGCTGTCCTTCTCCACAGGTTGCTGAACACTGACCATCAAATGCAACAATTTAGTTAATATTTTTAACTGATTTGAGTTGATAAATACAAGCAGTGTAACAATCATATATGAACAAGGTCATACTTTATCCAAGATAGGTGTTGTATCAGCCAAAAAAAAAAATTAAAATGGCAAAGATGGTCTAAGTAGACATAACTGTTTCATATCATTAGGATAGTTCAAATATGATAGTTTTTAACCGTAGGAGACATACTCCACTGAAGCTGGACACGCTGTACTCTGCAGTACATGGATGCATGTTGCAGGCCTGCTGACTCGGTGGCCTTTGCAGGCGCTGGGCAATGCAGTAAGTCTCGTCGACCACATGGGGGTTCACTGAGTCCTCAACTACACACTCCACACTACGATGCTGCATGCCTCCGCTGCACGAGGCAGAGCACTCGCCAAACACACTAGCTCTATAGACATATGTGAATGTCTCTGTTGGACGAGGAGCAGCAACAACTGGAGCAGAGGAGTGTACTGAGTTAGTGTCTTCATCCAAGCCCATAAACTCTCCACGGGTCAGTATCTAAAAAAAAAAAGACAAATTATTAGGAAATAACTATAAGAAAAAGAACCAACAGGTATTACAAAAGTGAAAAGAGTCCTATAAATCGCCTTTTAGGAGAGTAAAATTCTCTATGACTAATAGAAAACTAAAAGACTGCATCAAAGAAAGGGGCCTAGTTTCCACTTTAAGGATAACAACAGAAATATCTTATGTATTCTTTTTCTACCTTTAACTTCAACAATCTTTTTTTCTAAATCTGGCTGACAAACAAGAGTTAGCAATAAAGAAAAAACTTCTTTGCTTTGAACAATCTGCATCTTTAAAAGTAAAAAATATACAGACGATCTTTCAACCTTATTTAGATTCATTTTTATGCTCTATTCTAGCGTCACACCCTGCTCTTGGATTATTTGGTACATTGAAACCCAAATATTCAAACTAAGTAAGAGTCACATGCATAGGTCTAATCTGCAGCTCCAAATCTCACCCTGCAGACGCCATCCACACAGATATCACTGCGGCCCACATAGCACGGGGTCCCATCTACCACTGCAGTTCTGTGTCGGTAAAAGAAATCCTCTCCTCTCGGGACACAGTTGAGCTCACATGGATTAGCTGCTAGAAAAGGTTAGGGAGTCACAAACCTAAAAACACTTAAATATTGTTGTACATATTGTACATGTACCTCC